AACGACAACGCACAGGACGACGGAGGTCTATTGTCTGTTATGACAAATGCCATGAATGAAGGTGCTTCGGGATCACAATCGGGCGACTCGACTTCTTTTACCATATCCCCATCGTTAGTTGCAATATCCTTTCCGCGGGATCTGCAACATTATGTTAATTTATGTCCGTTTATTTCACAGGGTGACGGATGCTGCGACGAATGCCAGGAGTGAAGGTACTTCGGGAATACAATCGAGCGACTGGATTTCAGCGGCAGGGAGAGATATCGTACGACCAAAAAGAAAGGTAAAAAAAACCCCAAAACTAACTGACATGTATTTGTACAATATTTTTGAATGAAGAGTAGAGGCAGGGGAAGATTTAGGGATCAAGAAGGATAGTAAGAAAAATTGTATTGAATTTGACAAGCTCGTAAAGAAAGATGAGAGGTAGGGAGAAAAAATGTTAACGGGATTGAAAGGGTTTTTAAATAGCTGAATAATACGAGGGAGAGAAGTAGAGAGACTGAGAAGTCGACAAAGGAGTAATAGAGAGGGAGACAAAGCGGGAAGAGAACGATTGTATTGGGAGAGAAACAGGGAAATACAAAATAAAAGTCAGTCTTGTGATTGGCTTTAGTGGAGCAAGATCAATGAGTTATTCTTTACTTCAGAGATGCCAAAAGAAAGTTTTGAAATATCCGGAAAGACACGACACCCTCATTCAGCCATATCGTTGGCAACCATCAAGGAAGCAACTCGTTGATCTGTATAATTACTCCACTCGTTTGCCGTTTTACGACTACTTCTGTGCTTTCTATATGCAGGTGGCCCGAATGACAGTATAAAAAAAAGCTTTATATAGAAATAATATAGCAGTTGGACTAATAATTCAAACAACATCTCCTCACTAACAAATTAACGAACAAGTGGATATTAAATATTTACACTCAGTGATGGAAAAGTTCGCGAAAACTCACTATGACTCGCGAACTTTTCCCTTGGTGAACTTCGTGAAATATCGCGAACTTTTCCAACACTGTTTACACTACAACAAATTTCGTTTTAAAAACTGCATATAGTAAGCCCGCACCCCCGCTCTCTAACTACGCTTATGAGATTGAGCAAATGTTTTTGAATAATTCATCTGAACATACCAAATCGATAATATAAGAAACTCCGAAGTAATTTCAGTTTGAAACTTCACTTCTATTGATATGAGTGAGGAGGTGGGGTTTATTATTACCCCCCCCCCCCCCCTCAAATTGTAGAGAGAACAATTGTTTTAGAATAATTCATCTGAACATACCAAATCGGCAAGATAAGAAACTCCGGAATTTTTTTCAGTTTGGAATCTGACTCCGATTGGTACACCGGCAGTGTAGGCAGAAAAAGGGATTTTTGGTGTTTAATTCAAACCATACATATTTGAATAGTTGTAACTTTTTTTAAATTTGTTCTAGCACCGTACTTTCTTTGGCAAAGTTGTTAGGCGTTTCCTGGACTATATTTGTACATACTTAGTTGCATAGTTGCAAATTTGTGGTCTCTAGGGATAAAAATGCAAGGGTTGTTCTCAATTGGTGAGGTAAAGTTTACGTTTTTTCATGTAACGATGACCCACTCTAAAATATATATATATATAAAGCATTATAGTTTTAAAATGTTCAACCATATTGCCAATAAACGACGGCGTGCTCAAGAAAGTCATTTACGATATGGTCAAAAATTTCCGAAATAATAGACTTTGGAAATTTCGAATTATAAATGTGCTAATTAGTTGGCCATTTTCAACCAGCCCGTCAATTTCCGGCAAGCGCTTTCTATAATTTGATATTACGTACACACCAAATTCAGCATATTTGTAGTTCTGTATCAAAATTTCAGCTCAATTGATCATAACAAAACATAGTTGTCACTTTGTCCCATTAAGTAAAGTAATGGTATGCAGGGTTCCTTCCATTCATTTTGGCTATAAAAATGTTTTATGAAATTATGGAATAATAAGATATTATTATAATATTTTGTTTGTGTAAGCAACAAGAAAAGATTGTGGAGTTTGTGTTTGACACATAATACCAGCCAATGATGCTGCATGAGAATGGCAATAAGCGATTTTGTTATTTATCTCACCCATTCTTCGCTCTTCACTCTTCGCGAAGAGGCGATCAGAAAATCGCTCATTGTGGCTCTGTCAAAGCTAAATTTGCAGGTTTTATGTGTCAAACACAAACTTTAAAATCTTTTCTTGTTCCTTACGCATACAAAATACCACCATAATATCTTATTATTCCATAATTTTCTAAAACATTTTTTTAGTCAAAATGAATGGAAGGCACCCTGATGGTATGTTAGTCCCATCCTGAAAATCGATCGTCCAGAGGTCAAGTTACAGTTCTGCTTTTTGGATCGCCATATTTTTTACTGATATAACAAAACATGCAAACTTCATTGTAAGTGATTTTAACCTGATAAAAATATCAAATAATTTACCATGATTTTTCAAATATTTACATAGAACATAGGCCGAGCAAATCGGTCGCTAATTTTCATTAGTCCTGACCCTCGCGCGAGATAATTTGATTATTAGTTTTTCGCATACGTTTTGTTCTCAAGTGATTAGAGATTTTTGACTGTGTTATTGTGGACCGGTGATCGCATTTTATTAGTTTTATATCCCGTGCGCGATAATTTAATTTGATTGAGTAAGTTTTTGAAAATGTTTTATTCTCGTGTTGCTGATGCAATGGTGCTTGGTGTTACCCCTTGTTACCCGTTATGACCTCAACCGTGCTCATCTTTTTTCGGTTGGTGCGATGAGTCACGCCTTTGTTCACGCGAGTGTGGTGTATTCGTAAAATAATAGATACCGAAAAGAAAAAAAGTTAATCATATCTAATTATTGAGCTGCTAGAATCGGGTAATGCAAAATATGCACTAAATGATGATCAATCATGTCGGTTTGTCGGTGGTCATCGTGTGGTACCGGGATCCATGCATGTGGAGAATGATTCGGGGCCCGTCTGCCTTATGCAGAATTTGTACATTTGGTATATAGGGTGGACATGTTCCGGGTCGTTTTCTGCAATTTCAGAATCAAGTGAATGCAAAGGTTGTACCATTTGAATTAATAGTGTATGAATCCTCCCCATTGGACATCGATCACGGGATGATCTAGTTCACGGTTATTGCGATCGAACGTATTTTTGGTATCTATTATTTTACACGTGAAAAAAGGTGTGGCTCATCGCATCAACCGAACAACTGTTATATGGCCTACCGTATCAGATTCAAATTTAATGTCGTTTAATATTGCGCTTATTACTTTTATCTTTATTCTAAACAATCTCCTTTCATACTTGTTTGTTTTAAAGTGAACTGGATGAAATGATTGTTTTATCAAAATTATGTTAAAGTTAACTACTATTCATATTTGCTAATTAATACCTAAATGTAATTTTTAATTTTATGAAGATAAGTTGCTCAGAATAGCAGCCTGTAATTCCGTACCAGAATCCGCCTCCAATTTAATGTCTTTTGTGGATTCGTAGTAGCAAAGTTGTGCTAAAAGCTAAATAGTTACCTAAAAATACTACCTAAATCGTTCACAATCAGAGCCGGGCCACTGATGAAAACCAAAACTACAACCCTGAAAAAACGAATCGATATTTTCGAAGGCGAACACAACCTATTCTTGCTAGTGATTCTGTCCAATTGTTAGGTATCCAAATTATAGTCATTCGTAAAATTATTATTGAATATATGGATGAATTTTCTATTATTGAATAACTATTATTTACGATAATTACATGAAAGAAATAACATATAAACTACAAACAAAACGTGACTACTAAAATCTCAAAAAGATATTCGCACAAGTATATTTCACGCAACCAGGAATCTCAAAACCATTAGACGCTATAATGATACTCTGCACATGTTAGACACAAGAAAAGGCCAAAAAGCAAGCGTCCGACACACAAAACACGCCAAATCCACTGGCAGTCACAATCAACGATTCTACGAATCGCGAGCGCTCACGAATCATAAAACCGCTGACTGCGACACTCTGAAAGCGAAATTGACAGGCTCTATGCGTCAAACACCCGCCCTCCAATCTCCTCCCGCATCCAACAACACAAACCTCCATTACAACATCTAACGAATTCAAAACTCCGAAAATCACTCATCTATAGAAAGTGAATGGAAGCAACCCTGCATGCAACTATTCTTCATGATACGCTTTGTCTGTCTATCTTTCTATTAGGCCTGTGGACATGTGTTAGACAAAAAAAAATTCAAAGGTAATTACAAGCAAAATACATATTGATTATTTTACGCAAAACCGAGCAAGTAATATTAAATCTCTTGTATTGTATGCTAATGCTAATTGACTGTAACAAAAATAATATGCTTAAATAAAATAAAATATTAATAAAATGATATGCAAAATTTACTAGAAGGTCATTACTTTATTGGTGAGAAGTTTCTAATAAGCCCTCCCAGTTCCTCTGTATACAGAACAAATCTGATACTATAATCAGAATTGCTCAGTCTGCATGAAGCAGCCGATTGCATCAAAGAAGTTCTATTAACAACCAAGAATTAATCGTTTGAGGTATACTGAAGCATTAAGAAGGTGATATGTGTCACTATGGGAAATCATCATCGTTGCAAATATAAAGAAATTAAACATAACCCTTTGCTTCAGTACCGTCAACCTCCATGTCCATGGGGAGGGCAGTCGAACAACTCTAATCATTCTAGAACAAAACGTATGCGAAAAACTAATTTAATCAAATTATCTCGCGCGAGGCCTAGGACTAATAAAAACATGCGACTGATTTGCTCGGCTCGTCACAGTCCATCTGTTGGTGCCAAAGACATCTGTTCAATCAAATGTTGTCCCGTACTCCGTAGCCCATCATTGCATCATCCCTATCTTACCCTACTAAGTTTAGCGGATTTCAGAACATTTTTAGAATTACCATCTCGTATTTTTCGAGATTAATAAGAGTTACCTTTGAAAGTGGCAAATCGTCATCATCCGAGTGTTCGTCCTTCATGCCAATCATTTTATTATCCTCTTCGTCGTCGCTAAACCTCAGTTCAATATCACTTGATGTATTGTAACTTACAATTTCGGCTGTATGGTGAAAGCTTTCCTCGATACGATCTATGAAATAGCAATGCAATGGAATTGTATAAAGTTAATCTGGAGATAATAACAAATGGATGCAAATGACGCAGTTGTTTTAACGTTGAACTGGCCATTGGCAAGACACAAATTACCTAAAAAATGAAAGTAAATAAAAATGAAATAGTTATTTACCATTTTCTTGTTGTTGATCATCTTCTATTAAGTGGCTTTTCAATGTTGTTGGTGCATTAAACAGAGCTGGAGTTGCAATAGGCGAAGAGAAAAATTCTCGGAAGTTTTCACGCAGCATCGACTTTAATTCACGGTCCAATTTGGTAGACTCCAATAGTGGAAACAGATTAGGAATCACCTACGAAAATAATTTTTAGCATTTCATTCAGGCTATATGTAACTGACCCCACAATTAAGGATCAGCTAAAAACAATTATGGATCAGTCAGTCTAGCATGTTAATCCAATAGAAGTGTGATAACTAATTGTGGAGTTAGTGTATCTTCAATCCAATTACCTGTTTATCTAAGATGATTCGCAATGAGTTGTATATTCCTGCACGAACACGATCCTCACCCTTGGGGTAAAAGTGTTTCATAATTCTGCACAAAAAATCCAGCAAGGTACAGCTCACTAACGGGTGGTTCTTAATTGAATGATACATTACCAATATTCCAGGTTCAATGTTCATAATGTTATCTTTCAATGGATCAAAGAACAGCCAATCATAGAATAACGAAAGTTTGGCATTTGCTTGTGCTACCGCATTAGTACACGAAGTTAAAAGCCATCCAATTACTGCCCATCTTGGAATTATGTCTGAACAGAGCATGTCGTTGGTAGGATGAATGGCTCCAATAATGAATCTGATTAAATCCGAACGTAAGCTTTGAGACTCAGGTGTTGTGAAATATTTTTCTTGAAACCAATCTTGATACCTAATATAGAAGATGAATATTATTAGTTTTAAATTTTAACATCGTATAACATTTTTCCCCGAAAACCGTTTCTCCGAGCGTAAGAACTAAATATTTTCTAAATTTGATTATTTGAAAAAAAAATTCTTCATTTTATCCGGTACATTCATTAGTTTTGTATTATTATTTCAATTAACTGTACCTATGAATATAACCATTATTTTGTTTTTTTTTTTTTCAAGTAAATGGTAGTGATTTGCTATTATGAAAAAATAATGAAATTGAATTGTTGTGTTAGGTTGTTTTCATTGAAATCAATTAAATTGAGATTTAAAAACCGATTTGCAAATATACAAATTTGAATAATTCAGTGCTAACATTTGAAAACGGCGCAAAAGCCATTTGTAAACAAATGGTTTGTGGGCCCTTTACTCGCTACCCGAAGAACGCCCACGCAAACCAACAGCATCGTCAGGAAGGGGAAAATTTCCCCTACCCGATGTTGCTGTTGTGTCGCGTGGGTGTACTTCAAGTAGTGAGTAAAGGGCCCACAAACCATTTGTTTACAAATGGCTTTTGTGCCGTTTTCAAATGTTAGCACTGAATTATTTGCAGGACAATTGCAACGGATTTGGTGCGTTTCCTGTGAGGATTACCATGTTAAATCATGTTTCAAGCAAGGTTGCAAATACTCATTTCAGCTAAAACAATGTTTTTTTTTTAATTATGAAGTAATTAGATGCTATGATCATATTTTGAATTCGTAAGATACAAGAAGAGGTAGCAAAGAATGTGTTTGACATATTAAATCTGTTTATTTCACTTCATGAAAGTCACAATCAGCGATTTTTCACACACTCACTCACTCACTCACTCACTCAGCGATCAGCAAATCGCTGATTGTGACTCATAGAAAGCAAAATTTACAGGTTTTATGTTTCAAACGCATACTTTGTAACCTCTTCTTGTAAGTTACAAGTATAACATGTCATCATACCATCTTTTGGTTTTATTATTCCGAAAAACATTATTTCAGCTGAAATAAGTATTCGCAACCTTGGTTTGAAGATCATCCTTGGTGGACAAAGCCGAGTCTTGTCACTATCAACAAGGCATAAAAAGTAACAAGGACTAACATGTGTTCCTTGGTTTACTGAAAAATCCTGTTCCCCTAGTTTGAAGTAGTCAGGAATAGGAATCGGTGGTAGATCTTACATCCCGTAACGTACAACGAAAAGATGATCTACCCACGTTACGGGGCAAATCTACCATAGAATCACGTAGTTTTTACGTGAAGAAAGGGATGAACTAAAGTTTCCTATATTTTCACGTAACCCAGGTTGCACAATGTCGTAGGTGGTACGAGCTGTAAACTGTTGTTAAGAAGGACGCCCACCTTCATCCGTTCCTGTTAGATAGTAATTTGTGTTTATTTACTACCTCTTAGTTAAAGAATGTGTCTCCCTCCAAAGCTGTCCTGGGCCACGTCCTTGCATCTGGTGGGGAAGGGGAGGAATGTTAGTCCAACACTTACTTAAGCGAGATGCAGAGAACTCTACGACTCCTCATAAATGTCAGGGGAAAGGTGGAATTTTGTTAGTAGAGATGGTAAGCCATAGTATTGAACCCAGGCCTGCTGTGGTGAGAGGTAATCAAGCTTACCACTACACCACCGGCACCGCTGAAGGATATATTAATATTTTGAATCTGTTATTATTGTAAACAATCTGAAAAGACTTGAAGGTTTTGTGTCAGCGGAAGAAGAAATATCAGTAATTTTTAACCCCGCGATTTTTCCCTTTACCATTCTAAAATAAAAATAAACCGATAATAACAACACTGAAGCCACAAACAAAGTGATAGACGACTTTCTCCAAAGAAATGAATTAAAATAATGTGGTTCTCTGCAATAGAATTCTAGTCCACCTTCCGCCGCTCACCGCAAGATTCGCTAGTATTTTTGTTTCGAATTAATTCAAGTTGGTTTTGTGTGCAATGATCTGGCAACTCGTGTTCTCGCTCGTGTTGATTTCTCACTCATCGAAGGAAATTCTGATTAGAGTGAGAAAGTAAGGAACAGTCAGTGCGGGAACGTGTGCGTTACTATACGTGCGGTAGAAGGAATGTAGTCGACTCTTTCGTTCTCACGGTGTTCTTACGCATGATCCAACGTTACGTCACACTTTATTATGCATAAGACCGTCGTGATAATGAAAGAGCAAAGTTTGTATGTTTGGCAGTCTCTCGCATTCAACCCCCATTCCCCCAACATCCAATTGGAACGGGCCAGATGAAGAGCACGGTAAGGGCCCATGCATTAATTATGTCACGCTAAATCGAGCAAAAAATTACCCTTCTCCCTCTTTCGTAACGTTTTTCTTAAAACTAATGCATTGCTTGTCACAAAATCTTAGACCCCCCTCCCCCTTAGAGCGTGACATAATACATGTATCAACCCTAAGAAAAAAAACCCAACTTCACTTTTACCTACTTTTGACTAGTTTGTCTCTTTTTCTCCGGAGAAGCAAAACCACCCAACGTTGAGTATAATCATAGTTACCTACTTTTGAGTAAACTAACTTACTTTTGGGTAGAAAGCTAGTGGAAAATTCCATACAAATTGCACACAAGTAACTGAAAACTACTTTGACCCGCTTTACCTACTTTTGGGTTCCTGCACTATAGTGCCGAGATGAGTGAAAAGAACATACTTTTGTGTCAGTCCGCATCGTGCTCTCTTGCCGTGCGGATCTATTGGCTTTTTGCTGAAGGAAGTGTTACTACTACCTAAAGCTACAACAAATTTAAACAGCACTTTTCAGTGCTCAACCTGTAAAAATTCTACCTTCAACGCTTATTTCTCTTCGATCCTTGTTTGGACCCTACCCGAGGTAATACTTCTTGTATATCGATTTGGAATATTCCTCTTAGATCCTTCAGATTCTTATAGTAATCTGCTTGGAAGTCGATTTGGATAACAATTTACTGCCGCCATGGCGCCTAAACGCAAAAGAAAGGGGCAAACTCGTAATCCCCCTTCTGATGAAATTAATTTGAGTAATCCATTTGATTTGCTCACGGATGATGAGAATGATCCTTCATCCAGGTAAAATTGTAGTAATATTTCCCGGCTTAATGCCAAGAAGGAAAATATTCCGCCTATTGTGATAACCACTTCCGATTTCCATGCTCTTCGCATGGAACTTTTGAACTTCGAGAAAGTTAAGTTTTCACTACAAATTGGACGTCGGGGTGAATGCCGTGTATTGGCTGAACCCTTCGACGGATTTAAATGTCTTCTCAAGTATCTTACTGAGAAGCAGCACAAATGTTTTACTTACGACACCAAAACTGAACGTGTGTTCAAGGTTGTCATGAAAGGACTGCCCAGTGGTGAATCCCTGGATCAGATCAAAGATGAACTGGCAAAATTACTTGGAGTTGTGCCACTCCAAGTAATCAAAATGAAAATGAAATCCCGTCCTGGCGATTCGCGCAACGGAATTTCTAATGATTTTTATTTAGTTCACTTCAAGTCTAATGAACTAAACAACCTTAAGGCCTTGGAAAAATCTAGCCTTATTAAAATTCCATTTTCTATGTCCGAGTGAAGTGGGAACACTTCAGGAAGACTGGAGGAAATTTCCAAAGCCTCACCCAGTGCCGTAAGTGGCAGGGATGGGGTCACGGAACTAAAAATTGCTACATGCCAGCTAAATGCATGAATTGAGGTGATTCCTCTCACGCGAAGGACGACTGTCTTGTGAAGGAAGATCCTAATAAATTTAAATTTTCAAATTGTGGTGAAAACCACAAATCCAATTTTTGGGAATGTAAGACTCGCAAAGCGATCTTACAATCTCTTTCCAAGCGACAGGTAGGAAACGCTCCACGTTTCCGACCAGGTACAAATTACTCTGCTGTTAACAATGGTCAGCGAGGAACAAATTCTACATTCGTACCCGTAGGTACAAATATCACCCCTGCTTCAAATTCTTCATCTATACCCACTCCCCTCGCTGCTAACAATGTTCAGCAAGTAAATGAAGCTACCTATGCTGATATTGCAACGGGTAGAAATCGAAATACTAACCAACGTATTTCTAACGGAAATTTTGAAAACTTTGTCTTAGGAAGCATTACTGCTCCTAAAATGGATTTTTTACAGAAATCATTAATTGACATGATTACTGATATGCTTAAATCTAACTCCAAGTTTGATGCTGGAGTAAAATTTGCAAACAATATTGTCATGACTTTGAAATTCAGTAATGGATTTTAAATCATTAAATATTTTAAATTGTAATGCTCGATCTCTTAAAGATAATGAAGACGAGCTATTTAACTTTTTGATAGTTCATAACGTGCATATTACGGTTATAACTGAAACGTTCATTAAACTTGACCATAAGATTAAGAGAGACGCAAATTATTTCATTTATAGAAATGATCGTCTGGATGGAGTCTGTGGTGGCGTTGCAATTATTTTTCATAGACGAATCAAACATAAAATTCTTTCTTCATTTGAAACCAAAGTATTCAAACTTTGGGAGTTTATGTTGAAACAACTTTCGTTTATAGCTGCCTATTTGCCATTCCAATGCGTAGGCCAGCAAAAGAATTTTCTCAAGGTTGACCTTCAGAAACTTACTCGTCATAGGTCTAAATTCTTCATTATTGGTGATTTTAATGCAAAACACCGCTCATGGAATAATGCTCAAAGCAATTCCAATAGTAATATTCTGTTTGATGATTGTTCTGCAGGTTATTACACTATTTAATATCCAAACAGCCCAACATGCTTTTCTTCAGCAAGTAATCCCTCAACTATTGATTTGGTCTTAACTGATTCATGTCAACTTGGCTACAAAGTTACCCATGCTGACTACGGTTCTGATCACCTTCCAGTAACTTTTGAAATATCCCAAGAAATAATTTCCAATCCCAACAGCTCTACTTTCAATTACCTTAGAGCTGATTGGGAGCAATATCGAACATTTATGGAATATAACTTCGATCCA